AGTCCAAGCACAGCTAGACAACATTCAGAAGCTCCTAAACAAGCAGATATGTTCAGTGGAAGATTCAGAAATGGTTGAAGAAGATGTCAACTGGATTAGTGGTGCCGGTTTTCAGAGATCTGGTAACCAAGGAGGATACAGAAACTTCACAGGCCAGAGAAGCAACTTTAACCAGAATCCCCAGAAGCCCAACACCTTAGCAGCAGCAACCCTAAAAACAACAGAAGCTATGGAAGTGCCTTCTACTCAATTCCACACCCACCCACCCAAGATACTAAATTGGAGGAATTGTTAGACAAGATACTTGAGAGTCAGCAGAAGCTCGAGGTAAACTTCAATGGAAAGATCGATTCTGTCTACACCACCTTCATCACGAAGATAGATGCACTCAGCACCCATGTGAAGAAGCTAGAGACCCAGGTGTTGCAGACATGAGAAGCAGTTAAGAAGCAGGAGTTTGCCCACACCCAGAACATCAATGCCCTCCTAGATGATGACTTTTGGCAAGAGGTAGTAGAAGAGATTCAGAGATCCGATGATGAGAGTGAAAGAGAATTCGCCTACGACTACTATCGATCGATATCACCAGTTCGACATCGATCGATATCACCTTTAGTTCGTCGATCGATCGACTTTGACGAGTGTCGATCGATGGACTCCGACGAAAACCCTCGCGAGTGCAATTCTGTTAAGATTATGTCTCACGCCGAATTCGCCGCACTTCACCCACATCCTCCCGCACCTTTCATCGATCGACATGATTCCCCCATCATCGATCGACATCAAGACCCTGGCTTCGCTCGACACACTCCAATCAGTGTCGATCGATACGAAGTACCCCAATGCCGAGTACCACTTCCCAAAATCGACAGTGCAGGTCTTGAAGCTTTTCGGGAGCGATATTACACCACCAGAAACCCTACAGCAGCCCTAAAAGAGAGACCCACGGATATTTTTGAGTCCATGGAGATAAAAATGGAAAATATGGGGAGAGTGCTCCAAAAAAGGAAAGAGAAGATACCTAAACCCTATAAAAGAGAAGCTAATGAGAAGGAGTTGTCAAGCTTCAGAAAAAGAGTCCTCAGAATACCTAAAGAGAAACCTTTTGAAGAAGCCTACTTTTCACACAGATTGTTGATGTTCTTCAGAGAAACGAAGGAGACAGAAAAAGACATCAGGAGGATGTTTAACCAAGTCAGAGATAGCCTCAAGCAGAAGATAACACTGAAGAAGAAGAATGATCCAGGGAAATTCACAATACCTTGCTCCATTAGAGGTGTTGAGTTCCCACGTGCCCTCTGTGACACAGGATCTGGAGTTAGCATCTTACCCAAGCTCATGGCAGATCATCTAGGTCTGAAGATAGAGCCTTCTGAAGAAACTTTCATCTTTGTAGATTGTTCTCAGCAAAGCTCTGGAGGCATCGTTCGCAACCTTGAGGTACAGATTGGAGAAACCCTAATTCCTACAGACTTCCATATCCTCTCCAACAAGCTAAACTTCAAGACTTCTCTACTACTTGGAAGAGCCTTCTTAGCCACAGTTGGAGCTGTTTGTGACCTCCAAACCAACAAGCTCTGCCTAACCCTCATCAACCCTTCCATTCACTACGACCATGTTCCAGTAATCAAGTTCCCAAGGCCAGCCAACTCAACACTCGTAGCCACATGTTTCTGTGCCCACGAATTTGATTATATGGAAGAGTATGAAACCGAAGAAGCAGTATCGACCGATGACACCACTTCCCCAGCGATCGATATCCTTGCAGCACCATAGACCAACAATTCTATCTGGTCATCGCTCGATGGAGTCTTCCGACGGACCGAAGACGAGTTCCCAGACGCCGATTTCAATGCAGATGAGTGGGAAAACGATCACTACTTGCCCGAGCTTGCTAGTATCACTACTCAGGAGGAGTATGATGAAGATTATGAGGAGGAACGAGCTATAAAGTACCAATTTCTTCGAGAAGATGATGAACAACCTCCATTCCCGACCTTCATCCGACGAGCATCGACCGATATGCCCAACCCCAGATCGCGCAAACGACGGTTCGAATCAACGAGCGACGAACCCTACTGCAAACCAGTCTATGTCCCCTACGAACCACGAGACGGAGATTACTCGATTGGAAGCTGAGACAGCGGTTATCCTGAAAATTTTGCAGTAGACACAGCACCCCTACAAGCCGCGATTCAACCTGCAGATCCCGTATCGCTCGACATGGAGTTCACGCCGTCGACCGATATGATCCTCCAGACATCGATCGATAAGGAGCACTCTCCATCGATCGATATCAATCTTCAACCACCAACCGATCCTGCCACAACACCATCCGAGGTACAACCACCCAAATTTGATTTAAATTCACTAATTCCAGATGAGTTTGGTATTTTCAGGGATTCAGATGGTCATGCACGAGCTATAGATGGGAGAATCATTCCTATCTCCACAAAAGATGTTGCAGACATACTCCAGATGGCCAATGGACCTATCATCGAAAAAGACCCGCACCAGACAAAACCATCGACCGATGCATGGAGACTAGCATCGATCGATACGCACCGAGAGTATGGGACGAGAGCCTTCCAAAACGGAGAACGTCGTTTCTTTTTAGAAAAGAAAGATGAATATGGAGTCTACAGAGATGAATCTGACCATGCAAGAGCAGTAAACGGAGACATCATCCCTGTCACCAAAGAAGATATGGAAAACTTGCGGAAGAGAGCCTCACTATTTGGTCGCTCTTGTTTCTGTCTACTAGGATATGCTGATCAGTTTGCTAAAGGAGTTCCAGATGGCAAGCTCTACACACAGAAAGAAGTCACCTACATGCTAGATGGCCTCACCAGCGATCACAGCTGGAAGATAGCAGGCGCGAGACTTGACCTTGAGGAAAAACTATCAAGACTTCGAGGTGAAATGCTATGGCAGACCAGCCACAATGACTTAGTATGAAAGAAACGAGATGCCCCACAAGAAGAAGTCAACACTTTGCGCGCGCAACTGCAATCTCAGCCACAGCCATCAACCGATACAGATCCCCCTGCATCGATCGATACAGCCGTCCAACACTCGATCGAGCACCACTTACAGAAACTATCGATCGATGACACCTGAGAGGCAGAGGGAGAGGTACATTACCTATGACCCCACTATTCTAAATCAAAGGAATGATCACAACGAGGGAGAGGTACATTACCTATGACTCCACTATTCGCTTACAATTTGTCAAGAAAGATCAATAAGATGAACATTAACTGTTCACTGGGATTGATATAAAAGAAAGAAGAGTTGGGATTCAGAGAAGGGGGATAAAGAAAGAAAGGGAACCAGGATGAGAATGCCTGAAACTTGTTTGAGTTGAATCCAAGTATTCCTTGATCGATACTCCCAAGGTAAAGCCTACACCTTTATTTTTATGCATAAATGAAATCAGTAGAGGGGATAGACAAACAAGGAATGTTTAAGTTTGGCTAGATGTTTAGGTTGCTAAGCTAGGATATGGTATAATGTACTTCTGTAGTTGATAGGAATAAGGTGTGGTTTGCAACAAAGTAAGAGGTTATGATTTTTAAGTTGAGATTTTGATTGAGTCCCTGCTGTTTTTAAACTTCTTTTCAAGACTAACTTGATGTTTGCTTGAGGACAAGCAAAAGGTTAAGTCTGGGGGGAGTTGATATACCATGATTTTGACCCGCTTTTGGTCATATTTTCTATATGTTTTTATTATAATTATCTATGTTTTGGAGTCTATTAGGTATGTTTTCAGGTTCATGAGTATTTTGTCCTAAAGTGATGATTTAGGTGCCTTATGGAGCTTAAAGGAAAGTTTTACAAGTTGACTATGAAGATCCGACATTGAGAGACACATATCGATCGATACACACCTTGTGTAATCGATCGATGAAGATTCCGTAGAAGTTGAAGTCGAGATACTCCATCGATCGATGTACGCAATGTACCATCGATCGATACAGAGCGTGATGAGCAAGGTTTACTTGGCCAACTTGAAGCCCAAGTTCTCACCAAATTACAAGACTGCCCCTGACGAGTTTTAACCTAATTGTACTCTGTATTTCTAGCTATGCCTATGAGCCCTAGCAAAATATGAAGTTTTGAACCAAGTTTTGTATTCTATTTTATACTTAGAAATAAAAGCATTTTCTTTTCATCTTATTCTTTTCTATGAATCTCTTGGCTATGTCTGAGTAGATTCATATGTTAAAATTTGGGGTTCAAATAGTTATGAGGGATTATCCCCAACTATGAATTGTTGAGTTGTTATATTCATTATCCAACTGAACCCTAATGCTTACTCTAGACTTGCTACCTAGAATATTGATTATGGAGTGACTAATCTAATAGTCATCTTCCTGAAATCATTTGGCTAAACCCATACTCTATTAAAGCACGATGCGACAGCCGGTCTGATAGAAATTCTCGGGTGAACACAGATTCAATCCGATCTGATACTTTATATCGATCGATACTCCTCTAGAGTTATCGATCGACGACAGCTTATATCGATCGACACTGCGATAGCAACATCGATCGATGCAGTCGGAAATCAGATCAATGGACGAGTCTAACTAGCGACAGCTATAGATTTGTCTAAGGGTTGAAGTTCTCATATATTTTCAAGCAATTCGTTAAGACATCCATAGATTTATAATCCTGATTTTCTGAATAGTAACCTTGAATCTAACTATTTCTCTTCATTGTTTTCAAACCAAAACCTATTTTCCTTAGCAACTTACCATTGCTACTTATTTTATTTACTGTTTTAAACTTGTTCAACCTATCTTAATCACTTAGGATTATATCTTTTGTGCCTCTAGTTCCCTGTGGATTCGATCCCTAAGTACTACGATTGAACCTCTTATTTGAGAGAGTAAATCACTCCTTAGGTTAAACATTTGAGTGACATCAAAGACGGAGGAGGTATCGCGTGGTGGTGGTTCTAGCCGCCTCTGCTCCCCGGAGAGTGACGACAAAGGATGTACGGCGTGATGCGGTGGATGAAGAAGATGACGTGATACGGCTGATGGTGATGATAATGTTTATATCTAGATTTAGGTTTATTTTTGGTTTGGTTTGTTGTTTTTTACTTGGTTTAGTTTGAATTTAGATTTTATTTCCAAAAGGAATCCATTTCAGAGGCGCTGGTCCACGCCAAATGGTTCACTTTGACTCGGATGAAGTACATGCTTGCACTGTCACATGTGGTGGTCTCGATACCGTTATTGAGAAATCGTGAGCAGCTTATCATGCATTATCATGCATGTACGGTGCAAACATAATCCTTGGAATAGATGTAAGCTTTATGATTCATACATAATATTAATCATTCTTTGGCTATTGTCCTTATGATTATCATACGTACAGGGTGGATACAGAGGATTCTATGCCAAGAACTCTGTCTTCTTAAACTCTGAAGTTGTCAACAACATCCATAAATGAGGAGGGACAATCCTTGGAACCTCACGAGGTGGACATGATACAACAAAGATTGTTGATAGAATCCAAGATCGAGGAATCAATCTGGTTTACATTATTGGTGGAGATGGAACACATAGAGGAGCTTCAGTTATATATATATATATATATATATATATATATATATATATATATATATATATATATATATATTATATATATATATAATATGAGGTAATACCATTTTGATATTTCAGAACATGAATTTTAAGTTTTTAACAGTCAACAGCTGAACTTAGATTGTATTAAAATCATGTAGGAGATCAGAAGGCATGTTGGCTTAAAGTTGTTGTGGTTGGAATCCCGAAAACAGTCGATAATGATATACCGGTGATAGATAGATCTTTTGGGTTTGATACTGCTGTGGAGGAATCTCAGAGAGCTATCAATGCAGCACATGTTGAAGCAGAGAGTGATGAGAATAGTATCGGTTTCGTTAAGCTCATGGGTCGTTACAGTGGTAAGTTTTCTCTCTTAACATTAACAGTTAAAAAAAACCTTTGACCTGTTACTGATTATTAAATGGCTAAACCAGGATTCATAGTGATGTATGCTACATTAGCCAGCAGAGATGTGGATTGCTGGTTGATTCCAGAGTCGCCGTTTTACCTTGAAGGTGAATGTGGACTGCTGGAGTTCATAGAGAGACGGATCAATGAGAATGGTCACATGGTGATTGTTCTTGCTGAAGGAGCAGGACAAGATTTGATGTCTAAAAGCATGGAGTCTAATACTCTTGAGGATGCGTCTGGTCACAATCTTCTTGAAGATCTTGGCTTGTGGCTATCACAAAACATCAAGGTGAAAAAGTTAATATGAGCCCAAACTGGTATCTAAGATCGTAAATGGTAAAAATAATCGAATCAAATAATCACTCATGTTTGGTTGTTGCTCCCACTCTCTTTATCAAAATGTATGTGTAAGCATCTAACTTTGTATTTGCTTATATTATTGAATATCAGACTCATGTAAGCGATAGTAACAATTGTATTTTTTTTAACCTTTGTTGTGCAGATGGAAAATTGCAACGCTGGAAATGCAGATGAATGTAAATCAGGGGAAGCTAAAATCAGAAAACAGAAACATGATTTTGCAAAGCTTGCTTTTGGAAAGAGTTGTGAGGTACCTTCTCTTGAAGCCAGATCTGTGTCGTATGAATTCAAATGCATCAAAGGCAGAGTGGATCGAAACTCATAAATGCATCATAGGAGAACATCATGAAGAGATTCACTCAACTAAAGTAAGCAAGCTGCACAAGCTTACTTCATTATTCTTGCCTGCTCTTTTCCTTTGTTGATTAGCTATTGATGTTCATTATCCATTATCAAGCTGCACAAGCTTACTTCATTATTGTTATAGATATCTTTTGCAAATACAAACCATAAAATTATAAAAACAATTAATAATTTAGATCACAAATAAAATATATCCCGCCCGTAGGACGGGCCGACCCTAGTTTTAAATAAAAATACTTAAGGATCCTCAAGCATAACCAAATTTCTCTATGAAACTGAAGAAGATAGCAACACACTGAGACAAAGATGGGCTGTCAAGAACGCAGCAAACTCGCAGGCAGGAGAGACCCTGAGTCCTTCAAGATTTTTTACGTACCTTTGACTGAGAATGCAATTTCCGTTTCTCTGTTAGAACTGTAAGATCATTTCATTGGGATCTCTTTTTTATTTGTTGTTTTACTTCAGTTTGCTTACTCAAACCACGTTTTTATTATTTAAGAAACAAATTAGGATGCACATTTTCTATATTTTATGTATATCTATTACCCAGAGTCTATTACTAATACACATTGCATCGAGCTTATAAAACTGATCTTGGTAGACTATTTTCGAAAAATATTTTGTCAAGAAAATTAATAATATATAACCAAATACAGAAATTAGGTGTTTTCTATCACACCAAATTATGATATGTCTAAAATATTTAATTTTAATAGTTGATTGAAAACCATACTTTTTACATATGACAATCTTTTACCACAACATAAATACTTTTATTTCATAAGATAATTTTTGAAACATTCATGCATTTGAAATATTTAATAAAAATAAATATTAAACTGTTATATGACAAACATAAATTTATCATAACAGAAATATTTTTATTTGTTAAACTAAATTTGAACACTCATATATATAATATAATATATATCACACCTGCTTGTATGGGTAAGGGGGAATCAAACAGCATACATAAAAATATACCTATCAAATATATTTTACAGATGAGTCATAAGTTAACCCAAACGCAAACATACGTTTTGCGAAGTATATAATACAGAAAAAAAAAAAGAAGAAGTATATAATACAGTTTATTTTTATTTATGTTTATATGCGCTTAGTTTTGTTTAACATGACTGTATAAAGTTAGGTTTGGTAATAATGTATGTCTATCGGTTATGCATAAGTATATATTTATCAAAAAACAATTAACGTTTCATGTTATCCAGAAATATATTTCTCAGTAAATATATAATTTAACTCTGCATTAAATTTTAAATTATGATAAAATATGTTTGGAATATATCAGAATACAAATATTTTGAGATAATGATAATTATTTAAATTAATGACTAGTATTCTCGTCAATTTATGTTTTAATTATAACATCATCTATAGAAACATCTTCTTTACAAATGGAAGGAAGATTTAACTACGGTAGTTGTTCTGCAATGCATAAAAAAGCAAGTATTTTCCAAGTTTTACATGAGTCTATTTATATTTGCCGAGTTCTAGTTACACCATTACAATCCTCCAATAACAAATGAGTAACAGGCTCAGGGACAGTTTCAAAATAATGCAAACCAAACGGTAAAGAAATTGTATAAATAGATAATCCATCTGCTAAATAATTAGCCTTTCTATACACATGAAAAAATTTGATTAACCAGCTTTAACCCTTTATATAGTAGTAGATTAATTCTTATATTAATCTACTACTATACTGCGTAACACTTTATATAGTAATAGATCATCTATTTCCAACTTAAAATCAATTGGTGATTAGTAGAATTGACCTTAACCCTTTATATAGTAGTAGATTAATTCTTATATTAAGAGAACCTAATCTACCAACACTATTTGTGAACTATTTTTACTATTTGAAAAAAAGATTATCAACTTTTTTTGTAATAAGAAGTTAACTGTCTCTGAACTATTAAGCCAAATCAAATTTTGTAAATAAATAAAAAAGAAATAATCATACTTATTAAAACATTAATATTTCTACAATAAATAATTTAACTCTCTTGGAAGATATATAAAACTATAATGATTAATTATAAATGACTAATTAATTTATGATTAATGAATATAATTAAATAAAAACATAAATCAAAATTATCATTAAGGGTAGCATCAAAATTAGTTAGTTTAATTTGTGAAATAAATTGTTTCCTCTGCATCCAAGTTACAAAAGTAAACAAAAAATCTATAAATAATTTAATAATATTAAATCAATATGTATATATTTCTTATGACAGATATTAAATATCAAAGAAGAAACAATTTATTAGGTGACTCACAAAACACCATATAAAACATCAAACATGTTTAATTTCAATATGGCAGTGTCATATGCTCGTTAATTTATTAGGAATATTATTTGAATAATGAGTATAATATTACTTAATAAATAACTATAATTAAGTTAATAATATTATTTAAATACCGAATTACTTAATTTACTAAATACGTGGTAATGTGATATGTTAAGGTTTTGGCATATTTTAACAATGTTTTCTAAAGTATTTTTGAGTCTTCATCAAATATTTCTAATTCTTTTCAATTCATTACAGGTCTAGAGTTGCATTGGATAGAAGATGGACCCGTTGGAGCAAATGAGACAGAAAAGAGTGCAAATTAGTGATTTTCACGCAGAACAGTCTGCTGACCTATTCTAGATTGAGCGGAGCAACCCGAAGTGCATGTTCCAACGTCCAAGATTTTTAAGAAAACTTCTAATATTTTGGGATTTTACCTCGGCCTCCCCTTTTTCCTCCTAGTAAGCCATTGTTGACGGCTACACTCTTTTTACTTTGTCTTGTTCCTAGTTTTAGGAGAGAAGGGAGGAACTCCTTCAGATTCCTCCTGGAACTCCTTTGTTTCTTTGGTTCTTTGTTTGATTTTTATATTTTATCTATTCTATTCATCTATTCTACTATGATTTCTGTGACAAACTTCATGTTAGAGTAGATCCACCTGTTAGATTTAGGGTTTAAATAGGTTAAAGGGATTAGCCCGAACTATAGGATTGCTAGTTCTGATACTCATTAGGATGTTTTAATTGCTCATGGTTCTAGAGGAGCTAACTAGAAATATTGAATCCTAGATTATTTAGGTTGGATTAGAGACATTTAAGTGATATCCTGAACATATCTCTATTAAGTTAAGATTTATTACAAATATAATTGACACATTTTGATTTAGAAATCTTTAGTGATTTTAGGTTAACTCGTGTGCATTGCTTGACCGGAGTCATTGATCGATCATCTTAACAGAAATCGGTTGATGATGAGTTTAGTGTATCGGTCGATTTTCTTGTCGATAATCGATCGAAACTGTCAAGTATGACCATCCGGTCATTAGACTTATTTATTTGAACGTTAGTTTCGATGTGTTTAGATGGTTCAGTCAGTTGCAGCCAAGATCCTTAATCTGTTGGGAGGACATTAAAACCGCCTTTCTCAACACATTTTTCGATTAAGTCGCAGCATCTCGAGTAAAAGAGATGAACGATAAGTCGGACAAGATCTATGCCATGTGAGGAATAAATAGAGAAGATGATCTTCCAAGCCACTTTTTCGAATACATTATAGAAATGTAAAATAAATATCATAGATCTGGAGAGCTTAGCAGAGTAGACGATACTGGTATTGGAGACTCGATCCCACTATCGATCGACAACACTAACTCAGAATTTATTGATGGTGTAACCTCAGAAACAATCGACAGCATTATCTCAACATCGATCGACAGAAACCCATGTTCCCGATTGGCACCTATTCCTGAAAGTTCGGGTCGTCCTCAGAAGACAGAGTCGACACAGGAGAAAACTGGTGTATCAAGCTGTTCTCTTTCCCCATATGTTGGAAAAGAAATCACTATGGAAGATTTCTTAGAGCTAGAAAATTTCTTGGAGTTGGAGGATGGAGAAAAGCTTGGAGATTTGGATCCGAGTAGAGTTGTCTCTATGGAAGACTTCTTAGAACTGGAGAAATGGCTTGAGGATATGGATCGGAATTCAGAGCGGAAGCTTGATGTTGAAGGGAATATTATGAGAAAAGATCTGGAGACTTTGTCGAAGAATTGCATCGATCGATACCAATCTACTGGAATTGATCGCTACCCGCCCAATGTCATCGATCAACAACCTCTTGACTGCATCGATCGACACCCATGGTTGGATGAGTTACCAGGATACGTAGTTGAGATGGAATTGATTGAGGAGAGAATGTACAAGTCTGAGACAACACACCTTATTGACCTAAACATCAGAGACGGCCTATCTTTGCAGAAAAAGCGTCTGGGTTTCACAAAAGAGTGAAAAGGATACATGATCCTAGGACAACTGTGGTTTCTTGCGCAGTATTAGAAGTTGATTTCCCTATCCCACCAAATAGAAGTGTGCAACCAGGTTCCTACATTATGATATTGAATGATCATCATCACGCAGAAGTTTCTCAGAGAGGATTGAGATGTAGAGGTGAAGTAGACAAATGTTCAACAGAAGCACTGTCGTTCGACATAGACCAGTTACCAACGATCGACACCGGTCATACACCATCGATCGACACAACCAGTTCATTGTTGATCGACATCCTTAGGGTATTTCAGCACGCAAAGACAGAAATAGACAAGTCTAGGGGAAAGAAGAGGAGGAATTGGAAGAAGAGGAAAAGGATCAAGGGGGATCCTCACTTATCATTCACTCCTCATTTCTCAGATGGTGTAAAGAAATCCAGAGTGCGCAGAAAATGCTTTTCACAGCCTTTTGCAAAGCTTAAAGCACTACTTATTGCTGAGATGATAGACAAAGGAGAAGAGTCTATGGAGGAGGCTTTCACACAAGAATGATAAAGCTTCAGAGAGTAGAAATTGAAACTTTTTTTGGAGCGAGTTCTCATCCTCATCCAGACTAAATCAGAAACCTCCAGAAGTCAAACTAATGACTAGAAATAAGCGCTGAGTGCGAGGCAAACCACTGTTAGGTTTGTTTTAAATTTGGTTTTAATTTCATTTACTACTAACTTTTCATTTTTATTTATTTATTTTAGGTAAAAAAAAAAACGTGAACAGTAAAATCACTGTAGCGTCGATTGACACTGTAACAGTCCCGTCGATCGACACTGTAGCAATCTCGTCGAGCGGCACTGTAGCAATCCCGTCGAGCGTCACTGTAGCAGTTACTGTTCATCGAAAAAATTAGTTTTTTCTTATTATTTTCTATTTGTGCTTTAATTTCTTTTTACTTACTATTTATGTCTTTTTATGTTCGATCCGAGGACGAGTTCTGCAACAAGCATCGATCGGTGGCTGGCCAGCCTATCGATCGACATAGCATCACGAGTATCGTTCGATCGCCACTTTATTATGTCGATCGACGCTCACCAACAACGAGCAGGTATACCATTTTTCCTTGTTAAATTTAATACTTATGTTTTATTTTCCTACAAATCTTAGACTATATAAAGCTGGTGACAATGTTGTTTAAGTCTGGGGGAGGTTTACTAACATTTGTTTTAGTTTGAGTTTTATTCCTATTATAAAATAAAAAAATAAAAAAAATCCAGGGAGAAACAGATTACCGTCCTATCGACCGACGAGGAATAGTCGATATCGATTCGCACAACATCATCTGCGACGATCGATGCATCCTTTTACACATCGATCGATATTGTTTCCGGTCAGGTTTATCTTTCTTCCTTGTTCAATTAAGTCTTTTTGATTTATTTTTCCTACATCACTCGGGTGTTTTACACTGGGGCAATGTAATTTAAGTCTGGAGGGATGTTTACTGATATTTGGTTATTGTGAGTCTTATTAAAGTTGTTTTCAAAAACTATTTTTATTGAGCTCAAGAAGGGGATTATGATCGTTTAATTTTTTTTTTTCTTATTAGCTAACCACACTATAGCACCATTCTTAGATTTGTTGACAGCAGAGTATACTAAAGATACTAAAGTGGATCATCCTGCCATTATATCACACTTGCTTAAAAAGTTTGAAGGAACCGAAGCTGACCTCCAACCCTAATATGACTAATCTGCTTGCTTTGGGGCTTGGTATACATTGGATCGGACCTCCTTCAGGTCTGAAAGGTATGAGTCTGTAAATTTTTGGTTTCTTTCTCTCCTCTCTTTAATGAAAAAAAAAGGAAAAGAAAAGAAAAGATTGAGATGATTTTCTGAGATGCAGAGGGGTAGGTACATTACCAATGACCCCAGTATTCTAATTCAAAGGAATGATCACACATTGTGGAAGCGAGGGGTAGGTACATTACCAATGACCCCATTATTTGCCTATACTTTGTCAAATAAAAATCAATAAGGTGAACAAGATGGAAGGCATTAGTACTTGTCTTAGTTCACTGGCATTGAATAAGAAAAGATTCAGAGAAGAGGGATATAGGAAGAAAAGAAACCAGAATATGACTACCTGTTTACTCAGATACCTGCTGCAGTAAGAGTCTAAGTATCCTTTGATCGATACTCCCAAGATAAAGCCTGCACTTTATTTTATGTAAGAAATGAGGTTAGTTAAGGGGAATGTCAAGCTAGTATTTGCTAAGTTGCTGATAGATTGGATTTGGTTGATAAGCTAGGATATGGTATATAAAGTATCTTTGAGGTTAGTAATTATTTGATGTGGTTGCAACATAGTAGAGGTGAGAGTAGTAAATTAATGATTTTGTGAGTCCCTGCTGTTTTCAAACCTCTTTTAGAGAGATTGCATGTTTGTTTTGCTTGAGGACAAGCAAAAGGGTAAGTCTGGGGGAGTTGATATACCATGGATTTTACCCATTATTACCCATGGTATATAAGTGTTTTAAGATATATTTCTTATGTTTTGGAGTATTTTTAGAGTACAGGTTCATGTCCATTCTCGAGAAATATGGTGATTTTGTGTCTTTTAGAGCCCTTTGAATGCATAACTACACAGACGCATCAGATGTTTAGCTGTGGATGGATACTTTCCCACCATTAGATTTTACCCATATTTTGACACAAGATAGATCTTTGAGTTATCTTTCCCATTCCAGCTGTTTGAGGTCAATCAGCATCCTGTAGCAGAAGTTATATCCGTTTTACTGAAGAGTGTTCAGTCTGTCTCGCGAAAGGAAGCTGTCGAGAAGTTAAAGAAGAATCGATCGATGAAACACACTTGGTGTTGATCGATGGAGATCACAGAACGCGGATCGAGTATGTTTCAAGACCAACTTAAGCCCAAAAGAATCCTAAATTACCAGAATACCCTTGGACGATCAGAAGTCCTATTTATGTTATTTGTAAGGCATTGGTGACGGCTACGCTCTTTTTACTTTGTCTTGTTCCTAGTTTTAGGAGAGAAGGGAGGAACTCCTACAGATTCCTCCTGGAACTCCTTTGTTTCTTTGGTTCTTTGTTTTAATTTTTATATTTTATCTATTCTATTCATCTATTTTACCATGATTTATGTGACAAACTTCATGTTAGAATAGATCCACCTGTTAGATTTAGGTTTAAATAGGTTAGAGGGATTAGCCCCAACTATAGGATTGCTAGCTGTGATACTCATTAATAGGATGTTTTAATTTCTCATGGTTATAGAGTAGCTAACTAGAAACATTGAATCCTGGATTATTTAGGTTGGATTAGAGACATTTAAGTGATTCTGAATATTAAGCTAATATTTATTAGAAATATAATTGACACAATTTGATTTAGAAATCTGTAGTGATGTTAGGTTAACTCGTGTGCATTGCTTGACCGAAGTCATCGAACGATCTTCCTAACAGAAATCGGTCGATGATGAGTTTAGTGTATCGGTCGATTTTCTTGTCGATAATCGATCGACACTGTCAAGTACGACCATCCAGTCATTAGACTTATTTATTTAAACGTTAATTTAGATAATTTATTAAACGAGATAGTTAATGCTCTATAGTATCTCGCAAGCAACTGAATAGCATCCTATATGATTATAATCACAATACCTTAACATAAACCCTTAGATCTAGCAAACATCCTTCCATCAAAAAATTTCCTGCCAAATTGAATAATTGTTTTATTCATCTTGTTTATTGTTTTATTTAAGGGAAAATTAGAAATTTAGGACACTTTGAACTTAGATTTGTCCCTCTAGGACTTTTATAAATATGTTTGGGAAAATAAGATTTTAATTCTTGTAAATACTATTATACCCTTAAAATTGATCAAATTTAATTATTCTTAAAATATTAAATTATTATTTTCATATTAAATTTAATACTTTTATAATTATTAAAAAAAGGGAAAAAAACCCTAAATCACTTTCACCTCTTTCTCCTCCGTCGTCGACCTTTTTCCCTCTCCCATGGCAATTTTTTGATCTTCTCCATCCATCCTTCTCCTTCTCTTCTAAATCAAGTCATCTTCATCTACCCATCTTTTCTCTACCGAAATCCATCTCTTCTATCCATCTTTTCTCCACCAAAATCCAACTCTTCTTCCTCACCACCGATCTTCGTCGGGCCAATTCCAAATCAAAAGGTTCTTCCAGCAATTTCGTTAATAACTCATGGTTCTTAACACTAGGTATTGTGTTTAACCATGAATTATCCTATGCTTCAACTTTTCCCTTATCTTAAACCGTGATTTTTTTTCAAATCGATTGGTCATGATATATGATACTAGTTGTTGTCCGATTGTTGTCCGATTGTGTATGTTTGCATGTAGATTAGTTGTTACTAGTTGTTGTCCGAGTGTGAATGTTTGCATATAACAAATCGATTGGTTATGAAATTCGGGTCTTGGAATCTGATAGTAGTTGTTGTCCGATTGTGTATGTTTGCAAGTAGATTAGTTGTTCTCCGATTGTAATGTAGTTCAATTATGTTTGAAATCAATGAGTTATTGTTTGATCTTGCAACTAACTATTTTTTCATGCCTAGTAGGTATGGCTGAGGAGTTACCAAAGAGACTTTTTAAAGAGGGCGAGGAGACCCAAGTGACTCAGATAAATAACAACTGCAGGATCGACTACATTCTGAAAAAGTTTGAAGCGTGGTTGCCAAGGGAGTTGGATGTTCTGAAGAAAGATCCGACTTTTTATCACATTTTCAAGCTACAAAAGAATGGTCTTGGATACTCTGCGAGAGTGATACACAGCATGTTGTGTAGGGAGCTTGTGACTTACAAACATCATGAGCTTTGGTTTGCCTTTGCGAGGAGACCACTTTGATTTTCACTTCAAGAGTTCCACGCAGTAACCGGGTTTGAGTGAAATATTGGTATCCCACTTGAGGAGTTTGACGAATGGGAAAATGATGACGGTTTCTGGAGCAGGGTGTTGAAGAGAAAAGATGGGAAAGAGACACTGTTCAAGCTGTGGAATAACCACAAGTCAGCGGTTATGAAGTGGAAAAATGCAGATCGCATTCGACTGATCTACCTGTCCTTCATTCTTTGTGTGGTTTTAGCGAGAGATGAGAAAGCTAATAGCCCCCTCAAATGGGTAAAGGTGGTCATGGATCTTGAGAAGGTTCGAAAGTATCCTTGGGGAGTTGCTGCTTATGATATTCTATGCGAATCAATAGCTAAGAATCGTGACAAGCTGAAGGATAAAACTACTAGTTATGTGTTAGATGGTTTCTCCTACGCCTTGCAGATTTGGGCAATGGAAGCTGTACCAAAGCTTGGGAAGCTTTGTGGAAAGAAACTGAACAAAGATTTTAAGGACGGTCCTATGTGCATAAACTGGAGGGGTGCTGCAAAGGTGTCATATGAGGAGATCAACCGCTTGGAGAACATATTTACTGCTGAGGTAATTTTCGGTTTTTAAGATTAACAATCCTATTTAAAATATTTTTGAGGTTCTAACTTTTTTTACCTTTCTTGTGTAGGATGTCACCTATCCATACATCTCATGGAGAGGGAATATGGTTGTAGTCGCGAGTTGTTTTCACAGAGAAGATGTGAATGATGATAGAGTCAAGGAGCTGATGGAGTTGATAAGGACTAAGCATGACTTAAGTGACCATGTTTGGGCTTTCGAAGAAACTGCAGAGTTTTCTCTGGATCTGGATGATGAAGCTGCTGTGAATGCTGGAGCAGCAGAGAGTGATGAGGACTTTCACACTCCAAATGGATCAACTAGTGTAGGCGTTTCATCAAAAAAGAGTAAGAAGAGGCTCCCAGATCGTGGTATGGAAAAAAGGAAACATAAGGTTTTCTCAACTGAACCTAAGCAACCGGTTCTTAATGATGACATGAAGGCTTTGGTGAAAGAGTTATTTGAACAGAATTTCAATGCAATGGAACTTAGGCTCCAGAAACAGATGGATGAGAAATTTGAGACACTGCAGTCCGAGCTGAAAGGATCGCGCAAGGATGCTAGAGTTGAGCTCAAAGATTCTGGGAACGATGGACAGCCTACACCGACGAAGCCATCGACGAGCCAGCCAGAGTTGAGGAGGTCCACTCGCGGGGTAAAGAAACACTAGTCTTCTATGTTTGTGTGTCTGTTTGTGTTATTGTCATCTATGATATCGGCCTGCCTTTTGTTGTGTGTACTTGTCATTGGTTTGTATGTGTCTTGTTTCAAACTTATGTATGGTTGTGAAATTTGCTAAGATATTTCAGTAATGACTAGACATCTTTCATTGTGAAATTTTTATTGTATATTCACAAATTTTCTTGTGCTTAATATTATGCTTTTAATTGATCATTTAGTTTCCCATTACAGGAAGCGTCTCATAGTCCAGCCGATGGGAATTTCAGTGAAGCAGATGATATCTTCCGAGAGATGGGTACGCAAGGCGTTGAAAGGCTGTCTCAGCCCTCGTATGTGCAGGGTTTTGATCCATCTCAGACCTCTAAGGAAGATGACTGGTGGACTCCGATGACTTCAGTTAGAGGTTCAAAAGCTAAACAAAGCAAAGGTAGTACAGCTCCACCTCCGTCGCAATGGAAGAAATGAAAAGGCAAAGGCAGTACACCCCAGCTTCTCGATAACCCATTGCCCGACGGTTCTCCGCAGTCATCACTTTGTTATTTGTCCGAAGAATCATGGACATGATTCATGGAATGGTGTATGAACCCAATAGCTGTAAAGATTGGTCCTTCATTCTTCAATTTGGCTGTAGCTACAAGGATAATATGTTCTCCAGAATGGCTTGGGAATGAGGTAATGATTTCTTATACTAGTGTATTTGTGGTGAATATACCTTTGTAACACATCTTTGATGCTTCAATGGTGTTCTGTCCTCGTGAATATTTAGGAAATGGTTTCAATTATGTTTATATGGCGAGTGAACACATCTTTCAAGCGTTGGACCCCAACCCGTGTTGCTTTCATGCCCTCCATCTTCTGCCTCCAAATGGACACTGAATTCAACAAGTTTGTCCTGAACAAAAAAGCTTATGAATTGCATGAGTTTCTTATTTCTTACGGCAGAGGAGAGCTTCCAGCTCATGGGCGGACTGATCAAGTCTGGGGTGTCGATATTGATCGTCTCTATTTTCCTCAGTTTGTAAATGGTAGTCGTCGGTTCCTCTTCATGTCTCAAAATTTGTTTCTTCATTTACCAATTTAGTATAAATCCAACGCAGGTAATCACTGAATTGCTGTCTGCATCAACATCATTGAGAGAAAAGTGGAAGTCTTTGATTGCAATAGAGGAAGGAATAGGCAATACGTTGAGAAGTTTGCGGCTTTGATTCCGTGGATAGTGAAGGCCGTTGCACCACCTGAAAGCAAGAAGCAGCTACTCGTATCACCATATTCTATAGTAGATGTACCGATGACGGCGAGGTTGAACAAGAGTTGTGCTGATTGCGGAGCATACGCACTCAAACACTTGCAATGCCATCTCCTTGGTCTCGACCTCGGCATAGTAGATGACGAAATCATCCAGGGCTGCAGACAGAAGATTGCTGTGGACTTATGGGAAGCTTCACACGATCCCATCTTAGCTCAGGTTATGACTCAATATGTACCTTCACCATGGGATAAGCCTGGTGTCTTTGACCTGTCAGAAGATGACTTATTATGAAACAAATGACAACTTCAGTTTATATAACAAAACTCTAGCTTTGGTTATTTATGAAACAAATGACAACTTCAGTTTTATGTTTTTTTTTTTAATTTATGTGACAATTCAAAACATACTCGTACACGAAGAACACATTATGTATCAAGGTGAATCATGAATCAACACACCCGAGGACCCGGCCCTGAACCGACCCAAAATCGCAGGTTTGAGAAAAGAAACTGCTCTATACGACGGGATCGATCGATCCCAGAAAAAGTCGGTCGATCCGACGGTCGATCTCGATGATTAAACAAAAACATAAAAAGCACGGACCAGAAACTGATCGACCTTGTCAAGTTCAGTCGATCTTCACCGATCGATTTATCATAGATCGATCGATCCCAGGAAGAGTCGGTCGATCCCAACGGTCGATCTCAATGATTAAACAAAAACATAAAAAAGCACGGAGCAGAAACTGATCGACCTTGTCAAGTTCAGTCGATCTTTGTGGGAACCGAGATTCACACTTGTCGATTTCCGTAAAATAAGGAAAGTTAGGAAAACCCTAATTTTCCAGAGGAACCAGATCTCTGCGAAAGCCAACGACAAGTAACCAAGAACGCGATTAATATGAATAAATTGAAAGATATAAAAAGAAAAACGAGATTGAGAGCAAGAAGGATTCTTATTCCGAATTTGCGTAAGAACGGTTACAACGAGAGTTGCCTTAGTTGCGTGAGCCGTCGATGAAATTCCTAGTTCTAGCAATCTAAGACTAAAACCCTAGTTGAGACGCAGCTCGATAACAAAAACGGAAAATTGCCTAAATGCTAAGTTTTGTGGTGAAAGCTCTGAAAACTCGTCCCTCAGCTTCTCCCCTATGCCTCCTCCTTATATACTCCTCCTTAGGCGGTTTTAGTCTTTCCATTTTGCTCGAAACCAAATATTTCGGGAACTTTCCATATCTGTCGATCCTTCCTTTTCTTCTGCGGAAATCTTCTATGTATCTTCAAACTTGCCTTTTATCTTCCGTCTGCGAGTAGACTGTCAAAGCGTTATCGTATCTTCGGGTTTGATTTCGTTAACATCGCGAGATGGGTTTTTATCGTGTTTTAGAACCTTTCGGGCCGTTTTACGATAAAAACCGTTTTACGACTTTAACGAGACCGTTTCCTGATCCGATGCCGTTTTTTACGATTCTCTCGACGTTTTTTATTAAAAACGCGTTTTTTATAATCTTAACGAAGAAACTTGGATAAATCGTATAGTTTAGGCGACGTTCGGTGTTTTGATTAACCGTTACCGTTTTATACGATTTCTTCGAGTTCTTTTCGAGAAAACGGAGTTTTACGGTTTTTATCGTAAAACTCGAACGATAGGACGGATCGAGACGAAACGGGAGACATTTCGACCGTGATTCAGAATACGATCGTGTCAAAGGACGTATGCCTTGAATCAAGGATGTGGGAGATCGAGGCACGGGATGGTCGGCTCGACGTACGGCGAGCTAGTTCAGCTTGGCTAGGTCGCCATATGGCGAACTAAGCGAAAAGAATCACTGGGGCAAAGTCAGCACCTCTTAGTTCGCCCAATGGCCATCTAGCCCGGACGGGACTAGTTTGCCCATCGGCGAACTAAGCTGGGCCGGCTTTGTTCGCCGATGGGCGAACTAGTCGAGTGCCTCCTAGTTCGCCCATCGGCGAACTAAGCCGGCTCGGCTTAGTTCGCTCGTGGGCGAACTAGTCGTGACTAGTTCGCGTTTTACGGCTGTTTCGGTTTTTTGCGGTTTCGTAAAACGATTCTCCGAGTTTTATCAAACGATTCTTCGAGTTTTATAAAACGATTCTCGAATTTTATAAAACGATTTTTCGGGTTTTTTAAAACGATTCTTCGAGTTTTATAAAACGATTCTCGAGTTTTATAAAACGATTCTTCGAGTTTTATAAAACGATTCTCGAGTTTTATAAAACGATTCTTCGAGTTTTATAAAACGATTCTTCGAGTTTTATAAAACGATTCTTGAGTTTTATAAAAAGATTCTTCGAGTTTTATAAAATGATCTTCGAGTTTAATAAAACGGCTTCTCGAGTTTTATAAAACGATCTTCGAGTTTTATAAAACGGCTTCTCGAGTTTTATAAAAAGATCTTCGAGTTTTATAAAATGATCTTCGAGTTTTATAAAACGGCTTCTCGAGTTTTATAAAACGATCTTCGAGTTTTATAAAACAGCTTCTCGAGTTTTATAAAACGGCTTCTCGAGTTTTATAAAACGATCCTCGAGTTTTATAAAACGATCTTCGAGTTTTATAAAACGGCTTCTCGAGTTTTATAAAATGATCCTTGAGTTTTATAAAACGATTCTCGAGTTTTATAAAACGATCCTCGAGTTTTATAAAACGATCTTCGAGTTTTATAAAACGGCTTCTCGAGTTTTATAAAACGATCTTCGAGTTTTATAAAACGGCTTCTCGAGTTTTATAAAAAGATCTTCGAGTTTCATAAAACGATCTTCGAGTTTTATAAAATGGCTTCTCGAGTTTTNGATCCTCGAGTTTTATAAAACGATCTTCGAGTTTTATAAAACGGCTTCTCGAGTTTTATAAAACGATCTTCGAGTTTTATAAAACGGCTTCTCGAGTTTTATAAAAAGATCTTCGAGTTTCATAAAACGATCTTCGAGTTTTATAAAATGGCTTCTCGAGTTTTATAAAACGATCCTCGAGTTTTATAAAACGATCTTCGGGTTTTATAAAACGGCTTCTCGAGTTTTATAAAATGATCCTTGAGTTTTATAAAACGATTCTCGAGTTTTATAAAACAATTCTTCGAGTTATATAAAACGATTCTCGAGTTTTATAAAACGATTCTTTGAGTTTTATAAAACGATTCTCGAATTTTATAAAACGATCCTCGAGTTTTATAAAACGATTCTCGAGTTTTATAAAATGATCCTTGGGTTTTATAAAACGATTCTCGAGTTTTATAAAACGGTCCTCGAGTTTTATAAAACGATCCTCGAGTTTTATAAAACGATTCTTCGGGTTTTACAAAACGATTCCTTTTATATTTCTGCGGGGAGTTTCGGCCGTTGATTCCGTCGTACCGATTTTGACCCCAACAGTTACCCCCCCAGCTCGTAAGAATCTTGAGCCTTTAGCGTAAGGTTCTTGCGAGTGGTTAACCAGTTTTAGTTAAGTTAGGCGGAATTAATGGTCGGAAAGGTCCGTTGAAAGTGATCTTTCCACTCTCCAGGGAGCGGAAAGCGTTTAAGATTAGGGCTGCGCCTTGTGAAGGCTGCCTATGTACCCTTTTGAGGGGATCAAGCCTTTCGTAGTTCATTTCGGAGTTAAGGTTCGTATGACCTGTTTCCTAGCAAGACCTTTACGGTCTAGTTATATGTTGTGTAGGAATTATCGAGCATATTGATGTCGATGGCATCTGGACCTTTGCCGGCCTTGAGACTTGCCTCGTAGGCCGTTTGGCCTGGCCGAGCGTGGCTGTTATAGTTTTCGGACTGGCCGTGTGCGGTTCTGAGTCCCTGCCACTTTTGCGGCTTTATTAAAAATCACTTTGCGTTTTTAAGAGCGTGTTTTTATTCGTATGAATGTAGCGGGAAGATTATGAGTTGATATTGAGGGAGGTCCGCGAGTTGTCGTCTCGCATTCCTTTTTCCCTTGGTGTATCGCCTTGTTCGTTTACTCATTTTAGGATGTTTAGTAAATCGAGTGAGTGTTTAGATATAGACGAAGAGACATGCCTTTAGGATCTCGATTCATGCCTTGAGACGTTAGCGACCAGTGTGCTGGATTTAGGGCAAGACCTAGGTTTACTTTCGGATTGAGGCTATGCGATGACTAGTCGGCTTTCGTTTTGCCTGTTGTGATTTTAACCTGATTCCATACCGATTTAGAATCCGCGATAGGTTCTCGGCTTATACGATTCGTCTGGTTGGAACCGAGCATCTCACCGGGAACAATTTCTAAGTTGCCCGGAAGTGCTGACCAAAAGCTTGGATTTCTTTTATAGCGCTATTACCCTTGTGTCGGGTGTTCGAGAGCTATCTCTGCGAGATAACTTCAGTTTGTTTAGGACTGTTGCGAGTTTGTTGTGATCAGCAACAAACTTTTTATGTGATAGATGTTTACGTTGTTTTGGCCTTCGCAAAGGATACGTACGTTAAGAAGTTTTGCGTAATTTTATAGTCGCGGACGGACTGTTAGGTCTTCCAAGAAAATGACTTTATCGAGGAAGGTATTTGTGTTGAAAAACTAGTCTCCGGGCGTCTGCGACGTCTCGCAGTGCCGAAAGTTGGTTTTTATTTTATATGCCGCGTTTCGTGTTCGGAACGTTTGCGGGCTCGAAAATGTTGCGCGGTGTTGCGAGGGTTTTGTCTTAACCCTGCTTTGCAGGAACACTTTGGTTCGTTTGCGTATATTCGCAATTAAAACTAACATTCCTGTTTGGATGTTAGGTAGTTTTATGAGTTGTGCTAGAGCAATTAGGACCGAGAGGTCACGTAAGTTGTTTCCCCGAAACGAAGGGTTTTTCGTTACGGTGCTTTGTGAAGTGTTGACCTTCCGAGATTCGTACGGCTTTATGAGCTCTGGTACGAGTGTTTTCTTATACGTCGGATTTTGTAGGCAACTTGCTTCGGGCGAGAATACAGAATTTAGCCGATTTTCGACAAGTTTGCATTTTCCGTTGAATGTATTGGCTTAGCGCGAAGGTTGTGTTCAGCCGCACAGCCAAGGTCGTATTTGGTAGAGGATTAGACCACGACACTTTCGTGCTATCGAAAAGGTCGAGTCGGTTTGTAAACTTGGCATTGAAGTGAAGCGTGATCGGACAATAGCCAAGTAGCGTTTGTCGAGATAGATATGCCAAGTATGCCCGTGTTTATAGAAAACGTTTTTCCGTTGTAGGTTTGATTTATACGATGAAAGTTTCGTATAAACTTNTTTCGTATAAACTTTCCTTTGTATGGAAGTTGTTTCTTTTTTACTCGAGGGAGACAGATCCT